TGGGAAAAATAACTTTTTAAAAACAGAAAATCAGGTAAAATTTCAAACTGGAAATAGACTCTTGGGCAACGTCATAGTTGTCTGCTCTGACCATTTCTTCTGTGGTGGGTCTCTTGGTGATTTACAAATGAATAATTGTAATGGCCTGTTGCCTTCCCCTTTCTCAAGAGATAGCCTATATTTGCTGAAATGTGCAATGTCTGAGAGCTGCCATGCTCTCAATGCGGATTGCTGTGAACAAGGGGTCCTACAAGGTTGACCAGAGCAGACAGCTGAGCACAGAGGCTGGGGAAAGAAGTGCTGGAATATGACCTTGAGCTGGAACAGAGGAGAGAGAGGGGGCTGGGATTCCCAAGAGTTGAAAATTCTGTCTGGTCACATAGTCTCTTGAATTGCTTCCCTGTCTCAGCTTGAGTCCCCTGGGCCTCAAAGAGCAAAGAGACAGCACCTAACTCCTTGTGCCAGGTCATCAAATTTTCTGACTCAGCCTTCTGGTTTTTCTTTGCTCCCCCTGACTGTAGATATCAGGACACCTGTAATTAGACAGTTGAGTGCACTTTCTAGGGTAACTGACATTTGTAGAAGGTTTTCTGCTTATATTTTGGAAACAGTGTGGAAGTGAGGAAATGTGTGACTTTCCCTTCACTTGGTAGGGGTCAGAAAGGAGGAAGCAATGTTTCCCACCATCCTGTGCTTGAGAGAAGAGATGGTAGGAGTCTAATGAAACATGCCTGGGAAGTGTGCTAACGCTATGTGCAACCCCAGGAGAGTCAGAACCCCAATTCCTACATGGTTGACATTGTCTTTGGTAGAGACTGTGTATTTACTGAGTTAGGATCTGCAGCAGCAGATGTAGCTGCTTGTTGATGTTTGTATGGCTTGGGTTTCAGAGAAGAACAAAGAGACCCGAAAAAAGAAGGGAAGGAAACAGCAATAGGGCAGTGCCTGCAATGCGATGGACAGTCAAACTCATCATTTAGGTGAAATAATGAGAATCCTGGACTGGAAGGAAACTGTTCCACAAGAGGACAAGTTACTTAAAGCTGGACTCAACACTTTGTAAAAGCTACCCAGAATAAGTCTGTCTCTGCCTTGATCTGTCTGTCTCCCTCCCCATTTTTCTCTCTCTCTCTGTGTATCTCTCTCTCCTGTTTGTTTAGTTCATGCAGGGCTTAAACTCCTGATTTTTCTGCATTTTTAAGATTTTTACACATCTCCTGTTTGTTTAGTTTATGCAGGGCTTAAACTCCTGATTTTTCTGCATTTTTAAGATTTTTACACATTAGAGAAATGCACCACTGTATCCAGTGTAGAATAAAGCTTGCTTTTTACAGCAGCAAAAGGTTATTGCATATATGTTGAAATTATACTGGTTTTCTCTGTAGAACGTATTCAGGCTTTAATAAAATGGTGCATACTATTTTTAAAGCCATCCGGTATGCTGGTGTCTTAAGCATACATTTTGTCTTCCTGTGGGATTATCCTTAGCCAACCATGACCCAAATTATGAAATCTCCATAACAAAAAGTTCACATCTGTAGAAACTTTCAAGGTGGTAAGATTGTTTGCTGCACAAAACAAATTCATCAGGGGAAGATTCCTGAACTAATAGCAGGGACACCCACAGTTGGGAGACACTGTGCAATTGTAGCCTTGACCTGAGTTATATAGTGGGAGGCAGCAACAACTGTAAACTTGTAGTTATTTGGGAGAGGGAAGAGTGACAAATCTAGACACAGACTCTTGAGGTGCAGTCCCTGTAGCCAGGCATCTGAGAGCACAACCACATTCTCTCTCCTGTCTTGAAGTAATAGTGAGATTTCTGTCCTCTTCTGTTCTCTTTCCATCATTTGAAATGCTTCATTACCAAAAGTTACAGGAAGTTAAATGAGAATGGTTGAGACAATAATTTAAATCATTAAATCACAAATGATAGGTTAAAAACACAGGAGCTAGCTCATGCTGGAAAGGATGTGGAGTAAGGTGAGAGATGAATTTGGAGGTGTTTGGGATGTGGTATAGAAATATAGTGCAGAGGAAACTTCTTGGAATCTATGAAGGTGATTGTCATAAAGACATCCAGTAATGCGGGACATCAAGTCTCAACTGGCCATCTCTTGGAGCTAGGTAAGGCTTTCAGTCTGGGTGCATTCAGTTGAGTTGTTGGCCAAAGGATTCCCATGGAAAACCCCAAGCAACTCAAGCAGATGCTAAGAAAAAAGGTTGCTTTTCACAAACTGACAGTAGGGTCCCATTGCTGCCAACAACATCCACACAACTCATTGAGCATGGAGAAGTTGAACTGGTGCCATGGTCTAGTATCTTTGGTTCAGGAAAGCACCCTTCAGGATACCACAAAAGAATGTGGACACCAATCCAGCCACAAAACCTTTGACCCACAGTCTGTACTGCCTGCAAAATATGACATGGCAATGGTGGCAAAGAATTTGTGAGAGTAGCCAACCAATGTCTGATTTGATTTAAGGCCTACTACGTGAAAAGGAACACATACCCAACACTGCTTGGGTAACCAAGAACCAGAGACTAGATACCTCAAAGACCTAGGGTAAAACCAAACATGACTGGTCAAGAAACCAACCAAACCAAACCAAAACAACAAAATGACTTCTAATGTTAATCTGCTGTACTCATATGTCAGGGCCTTATCTGGTCATCATCAGAGATGATCAGAGAGAGGCTTCTTCTAGCTGTGGATGGGAATGAATGAAGAGATCATAATGTAGACATTATGCAGAGAGAGAGTCCAAACTGGAGGTCTCCATCAAATCCCTCCTCAGATCTCAGAGAATCCTGTGGAAGAGAAGACAGAAAAGTTTTAAGAGTCAGAGAGGATGGAAGACACAACTAAGCAAGGTGCATATGAGTTTACAGAGATCAAAGCAGCAAGCACATGGCCTACATTGGTCTGTATCATGTCCTCTGGGTAAAAATTATTTTTATGGGAGTCCTGATTGTGAGAATGAGTGGGTCATTGACTCTTTTGCCTGCTCTTGGGAATCTTTTTCTCTTATTGGGTTGCTATGTCTAACTTTGATATGAAAGTTTTTGCTTAATTCTGTTATATTTTATCTTCTTGTTGGTTGTTATCTCTTAGAAGCACGTTCCTTTCTAGTGAGACACAGAAAAGGAGTAAATGGGGTGGTGAATGGTGGGGAGAAACTCAAGGGAGTGGAGGGAGGGGAAACTATAATTATGATAGATTGTATGAGATCGTAATCTATTTTCAACATAAAAAGAAATTAAAAACAAAACAACCTGACTTGCTCACCTCAATAGATCCAGATTTAGAGTGGGTCTTTCCATTTCCAATGATGAACAAAGATAAATCCTTCCAACATGTACCCAGCTGATATTTAGGGTTATTCTTGTGTGTGTAAAGGTGTGTGTGTGTGTGTGTGTGTGTGTGTGTGTGTGTGTGTGTGTGTCTGTGTGTGAGTGGAACAGAATTTGGTGTTGCTGATTTCCCTTAATTTTGTCTTTTATTTCACTGATACTTTGTATGATTTTGCCACAGAATTTGGTGTAGCTGGTTTCCCTTAATTTTGTCTTTTATTTCACTGATACTTTGTATGATTTTGCCCAGTCTGATATTATCTGAATTCACTGAGTTCTTAACTTCCTATAAAGAGCTTCAGTTTTGAAATTTTCATTTGATATTTTGTTGCTTCTGTTGGAATATACTATTTGTTATCTCATTTTTGCTTCTTATGTAAATTAAAAATATAAGTCAAGTGGTTATTTTAAAGTCCTTACCTCTAATTCCAGGTCACAGTGCTCTGCATTTATTGAATATATTTTTGCTTTTGGACCCTGGAACACTTCTTATTACTTTATTGTAATTATAGTAAGCTTCAACTTTGTGACATTGAAGGTTTGGATATGTGTCAGGACCCAGGATCATTCCCTGCCTCACTATTATTTTAACTGCTAATTGTCAGAAATGTTTCTAAAAAGGCAAACAGGGAATTCTACAGTAGAAACAAACACTTCTGCTTCCTTAGGGAGTGAAACTCTGAGGAAATGGTCCTGAGGGAGCCTTTGTCTTTATAACTAGGCCAGTATGTCACTCTTACCTTGTTATTCACAGGTCAGGAGCTGCCTTCTTCCTGGAAGCTGTAGGGCCATTGGATAAACAAAAGGTGTAAGGCAAAGTTTTCAGGACAGAGAGGATTGTAAGATAAACCTGAGATTCTGAGCTTTGGCCCAAAAAAGGAGAAGGTGTGGAGCTCTGAGCTGTTGTCTTCTTTTTACCAGGTCTTTATCTCTCCCAGAACACTTCTGAGGAGAGAGAGAGTAGGCAGAACATCCCTGCTGCAAGTAAAGGAAGGTGCATGCCTGTGTGATCCTGACCAGCTGTGAAACACAGGTTAGGACTGGGCTGGTGTGGGACTGCAGGAGCTCCCTTCTGTCTCATGTCAGGAGGGTTTGTGACTTTGAGTACTCTGTGGGTCATCTTGAAGTGAAGATTGCTCTGTGGTGACAGATTCTTAGAACCTTTCACAGTAACTCTTCCATGAATGTGAGCCTAGAACATTGTTACTAAAGTTGTATGTGCACTTGAGTAAGAGATTGTGGGAGACAGTATTTCAATTTGTTAGTGCATAGCACTGGCCCAAGCTAGGCTGTCTTCTATCTGTTAGGATTCACTGCAGAGCAGAGGTCCATGTTTCAGTGACTGGTGTAGAGGCTGGAGATGAGAGGACATAGTTAAACGACTGACTTCTGAGTCTAAAAGTTGTCCCCCTTATCCTGCTGTCATCCTGCAGGATAAGTGTACCCGTTTACTGTGCTCTGGAATCTAGAGTCACTTGGTAGTTCACGATTACCTACCTTAAGTAGTTCCAGCCTTCCTACCAGAGTTTACTTCTCCTCTGGATTCCATTTCCATGAAGAGGTCTTGGATTTATGAGGATGGTGATGATGTTTCTTTTTCTCCACTTGTCCTCTTCTCTGTCACACAGGCCTCCCTTCTGAGAAGAATGACTGCCAAGAATTCCTCTGTGACAGAGTTCATCCTGGCAGGCCTGACAGACCATCCAGGACTCCGCCTGCCCCTCTCCTCCCTTCTCCACTGTGTCTCGGGAACCTGGGCTTGATCTCCCTGATAGGACTGAACTCTCACTTGCACACCCCCATGTATTTCTTTCTCTTCAATCTTTCTGCAATAGATTCCTGCTATTCCTCTACCATCTCCCCAAAAATGCTGATGAGTTTTATCTCAAAGAAGAATGTTATCTCCCACTCGGGATGTATGACCCAGCTCTTTTTCTTTTGTTTCTTTGTAATCTCTGAGTCCTTCATTCTGTCAGCCATGGCATATGATCGTATGTCGCCATCTGTCACCCCCTGATGTATATGGTTACCATGTCTCCCCAGGTGTGTTTTCTCCTTTTGCTTGGTGTGTATTTAATGGGCTTTGTTGGAGCCATGGCCCACACAATATCCATGGTGAGACTGAACTTTTGTGCTGAAAACCTTGTCAACCATTACATGTGTGACATCCTTCCCCTTCTGGAACGCTCTTGTACTAGCACCTATGTGAATGAGCTGGTAGTCTTTATTTTTGTGAGCTTTGATATTGGTGTACCCATTGTCACCATCTTCATTTCTTATACCCTCATTCTCTCTAGCATTCTTCAAATGCATTCTACAGAGGGCAGGTCCAAGGCCTTCAGCACCTGCAGCTCCCACATGATTGTGGTTTGTCTTTTCTTTGGGTCTGGGGCTTTTATGTACCTCAAGCCACCTTCCATTTTGTCCCTTGACCAAGGAAAAGTGTCTTCCTTGTTCTATACCATTGTGGTGCCCATGTTGAACCCTCTGATCTATAGCTTGAGAAATAAGGATGTCAAAGTTGCTCTGAGGAAAACCCTTGTCAGGAGAATATTTTCTTGAGGAGGTGTATGGTGAACTTCAGTAGTAAGAATGCTCAATGAGCAGAATTCATATGGAAAAATGCTGTGGTGCCATGAGGGGTTCAAGGTTTTGTTAAATTTTCTCTCTTTGCATAAGAAGTTTATGACACTAGGCAGTGAGCTTATGTTTTCATGAATACTGGGCAATTGTTCTACCAGTGAGCTATATCATTGTAGAAACAGTTTCAATCCTTTACTTTTGAATAAGAGTTTAACACACCTCTTGATCTTTGTTGTGTCTAAAATCTTCCCAGATTTCTTAACTTTATGCATATTTTATATTTCTATAGACCACTTATTGCTGAAAATGCCTCAGAAGCAATTTAATTTAATCTATGTTATCAACGAACTCAGAAATATGTTACTCAGGGGGTAAAAATTATCTGGTTCCTCAAATGCACCCCAATCTAGTAGGTTGGATTCCCATTTACTTCATGTTTGTTTATGCTGTGTTTTCTTGCAACATTATCATTCTTTCCGGTTTCCTTTTTATAGCTGTCACATTAAAATGATCATATTAATAATAACACAACTGAAAAATTTTCCAATTTTATTATTATTGTTAAAGAAGACCAAGTGAAAAGGGAAAACATATGATTGTTATATGACTCTCATTTAGGTAGTTCTGAGGCTATGCATGGAACTCTGTACCATGAAACTCTGCATTAGGAATTCCAGTGGCTTAGTGTTTATAAAGACAATGAATGTGAAAATATGTAATATTTTAAGACAAATGAGTAAAATTAAGAAATTTTTTAGGGTCCAGATGAATTTAGGTAGTTGATTCTTGATGGATAAATCTGTGATTCATGATAATCCAGCAAGGCTATGGGTGGTTTATGGGAGCAGTGAATAATTTGGGGGATGCATTTATTTATCAAGGCAACATCAAACATCTGCTTATGCAAATCAGACAACCTGTTTGCATTGAATTTTAAGGATGAGTTACCCTTATTAGTGGCTGAATGCTTTTACTTTCAACCTTTTTATTTAGCATTTTTGGTGTAATGGTGGGAAGACTTCTTTTTCCCTGAAAACCCCAAGTGCTAGATGACTAGAAATACAATTAAAAAAAAAAAACAAAGAAGAATACACTTTTGGTTCTTTTACTCTAACCAACAGAAACAATTTCTTCTGTCTCATGCTTTCTCAAACTATTTCCTCATGTTGGGTGACAGGGAAAAATTTGGGGAAAATATCATTTAAGTATCAGAAACCAGGTAAAACAGACTCCTGTACAGGTCTGGCCTGCTTGGGCCAATCCATTTTCCTGTGATGGTTTCACTTAGCATAAAGAGATAGGTGTTTTATAAGCAAATGGCTCTGATGGGCTTGCTCCCCTCCTGCTTGCTCAGTGAGATGGACTTTATTTCTTTTAACAAGCAATTTTTGAGCTGCTGTGTTTTTACTCCAGACTCATCCTGACTGCGGTGACCAAGGAGTTCCTATAGGAGTTTACCAAAGCAAACTGCAAATGTTGGGGAAACAGATGTTGAGAAAGGAGAATGGTTTTGAGGCCACCATTACCTAGAACAGAGGAGTAGGGAGGCTCTGGAAATCTCCTACTCAGCTGTTTATGTAGACTTCTCAGCAGTCCTCTGTTTCTGTTTTCTCATTGGTGCCTGCCACACTGATGGGGCAACAGTTGGCTGTTTGCCTCAGGTCAGCCTTCCTGCCTGTCTCTCCTAGCCTTGTCTTTAGATGCCTGTAATGAGAGAATGAGGTGCCCTCCTTAATATTCATATTAGCTGTGGAAGCTGACACATGGATTTCTGTACAGTGCCCTGGAGTGATATTACAGGGTGGAAGTGAATCTTGAGGAAGAGGCTCTCACCTGCCATTTTCATTCATCTTCAAGAGTCAGGAGGGAGAAAGATGCCTGTCTCCTTGCTGTGATCACATGAAGAGGTGTTGGGTCACTAATGAACCATCCCTGCCAAGTGTGGTAAGCCAGCTCCACAGCTAGGAAAGGCAGAAACCTTTATTTGCATATGACCCACATTCTCTTGGTGCAGGTTGTGGGTTTGCTGAGTTTGAATCTAAAGCAACAGATGTAGCTGCTTATTTATATTTATGTGGTTTGGGTTTTGGTCAAAAAATAGAGGCAAGTGATGAGAGAAGGAAAGAAAATGACAGTGATGTCTGCTGTGTCTGTATAAATGATAAGGAAAATGTAGATAAAAGCACTGTGCCTTTTGACATGCATTAGAATTGAATAAATTAAAGATCCTGGCAATACTGAGTACTGATCAGCACATGAGGTCCTCATTTTATAGCTGATTAACATGTAGAATGGCAGGACCACTTTAGGAAATGCTACAAATGATTTTTGTAAAGTTAAAATTAGATGTTCTGTTTAATACAGAAAATCCACTTCTAAGTATTTACAAAAACACAGTTGGAAGCATACATCCATGAAAACATGTATATGGCCATTTATAGTAGCTTTGTTTATCTTAGCCTTCAATTTGACACAATCCAAATTTTCCCTAAATGGTGAATGAACATGCAAATTTCAGTGTATTCATGAGTGAATACTATTTAGCCATGACAAGGGACCGATACACAGGGGAAAGAATCTCAGCATGAACAAACCTGAAAACTTTATGTCGAGGGAAAGGAATGTCATATGAAAGTGGCTAACATTTTATAGTTTTAAAAATAGGAAAACCTAATCTAGTCAGTCAGTAGTTGCTTAGGACTGAAGTGTGGGGATTTTAGGATGTCAAGGCTTCTTAACTCAATTTCTGTCAATCTAGCTCTGCATACCCATATTGCTTTTTTAAAAAAAATTAAAGTGAGAATAAGATAGTTGCTTATAAAACTCTATTGAATTATTTTAGCTAGTAAAAAAGGATCCCAAGACTTACAGGTTTGTGATATGGATATTTATTGCATAATATTTATGTGTAATTCCACTATATTTAGTGAGTTTTTGAGGTATAGAATGTACCCATAATTACCAATTACAACAAAGCTGTAAGACTTTGAACTTACTGTGAAGAAAGTTTTTATCTAATTGAGACTTAAGAAATAAAATTATGAAATACTCAGCATAAAAGTGAATCAAACTACGTGAAATGAAAACTACATGGGAAAATAAGAGCAAGAGAATGACTTCGCTCAAGGTTATTTTCAGTTCGCCCCTTAAGTTGTCAGTAACATAGTTTATCCCTTGATCTTGAAATTCTCACCACCTTGTCCCTAACATTTTATAAATACAGCTAAGAATTGCCATGTGAACATCCACTAGGGTATAATTTAATGTGCACAAACAGCTACAAATGTTGATCCCTTTTAAATGAGAAGGACATGTCTTGATTTGGTGAACTGACAGATTCATTCACTTAAACATGGAATACAGTTTGAGTTTAATTTCAGATTTATTTGCTTCAAGTTTTTGCTGTCAGTTTCTGGACCTGCTTTAAAAATTTTTCTTCTGGGGCTGGAGAGATGCCTCGGCAGTTAGCTTGAGAGCATTGGTTGCTCTTCAGAGGTCCTAAGTTTAGTTCCCATCAACCACATGGTGGCTCACCACCATCCATAGTGAGATCTTGTGCCCTCTTCTGGTCTGCAGGCATACATGCAGGCAGAACACCATATACATAATAAATAAATAAACCTTACATTTTTTTCTTCCGGTTGATTTCTTTATTTGCTAAATATTTGTTGACAGTTTTGAAAGATTCAGTCTTAGGCCCTTGATTATTCTGGGTATTATTCTGTCTCAAATGCTCTTCCTTGATACTGTTTGTCACTTCTTTGCCTCTATTCAGATGTGACTAAGGCTAGAGGCTGACGACTGTGTCTTCTTCTATTGCTTTCTACCTTATTTTTTAGATCCTGGGTTCTCACTGTATCTAGAGCTCACACTTTGGCTAGACTGGCTGAACAGCAAGTTGTGGGGATCCATTTGTTTCATCCCCACAGCACTGGAGTTAGGGACATGTTCTTCCATGCATTTTGTCTGAATGCTGAGGATCTCAGGTCCCTGTTCTGGTTTTAGTTCTGCAATGGCGATAAATTAACTTGACAAAAAGCAACAACAATTACAAAAAAGGAACAAGCATTTAAAATGAATTTGAAAAAGAACAAGTAGATGTATATGGGAGGTCTTGCCGAGAGGAAAGGGAAAGGAGAAATGATATACTTCTAAAAAATAAAAGAAATAATAAAATATCACAATTAAACCTAATACTGTACATACTAACATAAAATTTTAAAATAAAATAGGAATCAGGAAGGATTAGTATGAAAGGAAAAAAAGCAATTAGGGGAGAAAGTTTATTTTAACTCAAAGTTTGACATGATAGTTCTTTATTGTAGGGAATCAAGAGCAGAGAGAAATGAAGGCTCGCTTGCTTGCATGAGTTCACTTTCATTTCTCCACTGTTAACAAGACCCCTTATTTAGGTAATGGTGCCACCCACAGTGGTTTAGGTCTTCCCCACATCATTTGACTGAAGACAATATCCTACAGACATGCCCACAGACCAACCCAGTGTAGATAATCCTTCACAGATACTCTCTTCCTAGGCTGTGTCAAGTTGATAGTTCAACATAACCATGGCAATCCTCATGTTTGCATAGCAACTCTTGATCCACTGAGACATCTCCCCAATCCTTTCATTCCAATTTCAATGACAAATATTAGCTCTGAGATTACATAATATATCTCACATAATAAATTCATCATATATATACATATACATGTATAAACACACAAACATACACTCATATATACACGTGCATATATGTAGCTTATAAGACAGCTAGGAAGGGTTAAAATGCCACAGCAGAGTTCAAGAGGTATCAAAGAGGCCTGAGAGGCACAAGGGGAAGATGATAGAGATGGAAAGAGTCTGCTCTGTGGGGCTGAGGGACAGATAACTAATCCTGCTTGGAGGTATTGCTGCTTCTGTAATAGAATCAATCTTGGTGTCAGAGTTGAGCTACAGGAATGAGGTGTAGTAAAGTCTG